GGAATGAAAGCGGGAAGCATGACGAGGCAGAAGAACAGGTTGGGGAAATTGAAAGGACTTCAGCTGGGCCTGGTTCCAAGATGTCTGGTATGTGGAAAATGTGGCATGTGTGGTGAAAATCTGATTTCTCAAATCTAGTCAACTCAATTTAAAAAAAAAAAAACAAAAACAAACCAGTTCTTTCTGGCGACATGACAGCCAGACTCAAAACACCAGATGATTTCTGAGAGCCCACAGTAGTAGTTTGGAAACAAATACTATTTCGTTATGTAAACATATTTGGATTACACCACTGACAGTGACTGGAAAGCACTCTGTTGAGTTGGTTTGTGTGAACGAGCTGGATGCCCAGGAACTCAGTCTCCTTCAACTGGTCAGCAGGCTGAGGCCAGACACTAAATTCATCCTGCCTGTGCCAGTCCCTGCTCCTGAGAATTTGCAGTCCAGAGTGGTAGATCAGAAAACCATCATGGCGCTCAACCACACCACGACAGAGAGGCGCAGGGGGTAGTGGGGAAAGTGAGGAGACTTTAAGGGATGAGAATGGGAGAAGAGGGGACTGGATGGTCTGAGGGAAGATCTCCTAAGAGTGGGCCCTATACAAGTGAGAAGCAAAGGAAATGGGGAGGCAGAGAACATTCTAGAAGAATGAGCATGAGTCAAGATTAAGGATGACCAAGAAAGCAGGAGGGAGTTTTGCAGTTATTAGGGAAAGTGACAGGGGAAGAGGAGGTACAGAGGGAGAAAAGAAGAGAATAGAAGCTACCAGAAAGACAGCATAAAATAAGTGTATTCTCATGGGGAGATTAAAGGCCAACATCAAAATGAGTGTGTCGACTGACTGAAAGCTATAGATAGACCAAGGTATATGTTATTAATGGCGGCATTAGCTTCTGTCCAAATTCTCTCCCAGAAGTTCTGGTAAAGAGTAGTGAGTATTTCATTGACAGCCAAAAGAACAAACATATGTACAAAATGTGCAACCAGGGTGCTCCTTAGAGGCAAGGATGGTGAAATTCCTCTCATACTTTGGACATGTGGTCAAGAGGACTTGGTCCTTGGAAAACAAGTATCCTGCTGGGTAAAGTTGGGGGTCAGCAAAAGAGAGAATGCCCTTCAATGAACTGGACTGATTCAGTGATTCCAGCCACGGGCTTGGGCAGGTGGAGGTGATGACGATACACAGGCCAGGGCAAGGTCTCCATCCGGCGTTGTTTGTAAGGTCACCACAAGTCACAGCTGACTGGACGGCACCTAACACCAACACCAACTTTACCCCCACGACTGGTTAGGATGAGACCGCTGTGATCCAGTGACTTTTCTCTGCTGATTTTTAGAAGCTGCCAGACAGATTATGGTAGCTTTGCATCACAGGCACCGGCCAGCAGTCGAACTGGGTCTCGTGCGTAGAAGGAGATGATTCTGCCACTGATCCCTCACTATCTCGTTAAGCTCTTAGAGATGGTCAGAGTTCTGAGGCACAGGATGGAGAAACAGAGACTTGTCAGGAAGTTGCAAAATGCTGCACAATACAGGACGAGCGTCCAAACTAGGGTGTGGTGATAACAAAGACAGAGACTCAGGAACAAGACACACAGAAAATAAACTGAGCAAGTCTTATTTGTTAATCAACAACTGCCTTTTTATGAGTTTAAAACATGCAAACATATCCTCCCATGTAAAGTTAACAATCAGCCATTTAAATTGTCCTGTTACTGCATTTGAAAATGCACCCAAAAATGCAGAGAGAAAAACAGTAAAAACTGCCCTCGGCATAAAGCTAGAAATGTGAAAGTTCTGCATTAAACAGCTAGACTAGCACTACACTGTACACTGCTGACATTTAAATGTGTAATAATTTTTTTACGTCACTGAGGACATGCCCTTTTTGCCTGGACTCGTGTCTGTCTGAGAAGGATGAATAATACTGCAGAGCGTCCTTGGTCACTGGCTACAGGAAGATTTCACAAAGATAAAACAGTATGAAATTGATAAATCTGAGAGTGTTCATTTACAATTTTCAACTTTCGCCAGGTGGAAACTTTCCTTACCCTGAGGGGTAGATTGTGAAGTTGATGAAATATAGGGTTTCCTCATTTTTAATCCCTATCTAACAACTGCAATCATCCAAGACAGAGAGGTTCATCAATTTGAAGTGACCCTCAAAACACACGTCCTTCTCTCACTGGCTACCGTGGGTTGCGACTACTCTGCCTTTTGTTTGATGTGCTTTCTGTGAATAAAAGACACAATAAAGGAAGTTGAGTTGGTCTGCAGCTGCTTGCCTAGAGTCTCCAACCATTCTAAGAGCTGTGCATAACATGTTGGGCTGTAAACCAAAAGGCTGTCAGTTCAAATCCACCAGGCGCTCTGCAGAAGAAAAGATGGGCTGCTTCCGCCATAAACATTTACAGCCTCAGAAACCAGGCGGTGGGCTGTTATGTGTTTAGATCAACTGGATGGATGGCTGTGGGTTTGGATATTGGATTTAATTTTCCACTGAATGTTGTTTGTTGATTGCTGTTGAGTCGAGCAAGACTCATAGCGACCCTATGAACAAAAGGCCTGAAGCCTTTCTATAACGATCATCATTTATCAAAGTTCATAGATTTTCCAGAGGCATGTTGTTCCACTGAATATACGACATTAGCTAAATGTGTCCTCTTTAGACATTTTGACCTGGTAGAGAGTATCTTAACAACACTGGAATATCTCTAAATTAACATGACTCTCCCTATAAAGGTTATCAGAGAAAGAAAGACAAAGAAATCTATCCACGCACTCATTCATTCATTCTCTCAGCAGACACTCAGCAAGCATTCAGAGTGCCTGAATACCTAACACCTACGAGAGGAGTGGCTGATTCGAACCCCCTGCCTTCATTAGCAGCAAAGCTCCTTCCCCACTGAGCCACCAGAGCTCCCTCGATCGTAAGTAAAGGCTATGATGTCAGTAAAATGATTGAAATGCTGTTTCAGAGCCAAAGCCAAAAACAGAGCAAGGACTGTGGAATTAGAAAGCAGACAACAAAATTATAAGTCCACACAGAGCTAAGTGTGGGGAGGGGGGAAAGTGGTTTCATGGTTCTTAAGAGTTCCACTGAATTGTAATGAAGCACTTTTATATTTTTTCTATAAATTTTGAATTTTTTCAAGTATATTTGCTGTTGTAAAATATACATTTTAAAAGCGATACGAACCATACTGATGCTTTTAACCCCAAAATCTTGACACGCTGCTTGTCTGACAAAAGGTATAAAACCATGCAGCTGGCAGGTGGCCAGCGTATGGGTGAAGGGTTGGTGTCTGGCCTCTACCAACTCATCAAGGGGGAAGGGTCCCCTTAAACAACATCAACAACATAAAGGTAGTTTGTATAAGGTCAGACATACTCCCTGGCTCCCATCTCCTTCTACCAATTTCAACATCAACAGCCCCTCCGAGGGCTCTTGACTCTACTACTGTTGTTATTGTTAGGTGTCATCAAAAATGATCAAAAGTGACCTTCTAAACAACAAATCTGAACCCTTTCCTATCCTGAGCCGTCATCACAATCTCTGACACACTTGAGCCCATTGCTGCAGTCACTGTGTCAATCCATCTGGTTAAGGGTCTTCCTCTTTTTTGCTCACCCTCCACCTTTCCAAGCATGATGTCCCTCTCCAATGAGTACCCTTGCCTAGCAAAATGCCCAAAGTATATGAGATAAAGCTTTTATCATTTAGCCTCCAAGGAGAACTCTGGCTGCACCTTCTCCAAGACTTATCTGTTTGTTCTTTTGAAAATCTATGAGATATTCTGTACTCTACTCCAAATCCAACACCACAGTTCAAAGGCATCAATTCTTCTTTTGTTATCCTTATTCACTGTTTAGATTTCAGCTACAAAGCAAGTGAATGAAAAGACTATGCCCTGAATCAGGTTCACCTTAATCCTCAGAACTGATAGCACTGCCCCTCAATAATCTGGAGAGGACCCTGACTGCAGACATTCCCAGCGTAATATTTCTCCTGATTGCTGCACCATGTACGCACAGTCCCCTGTGTATCCAATGATGATGAAGTCGCTGACAGTGTCAATCTATTCTATATCTATCATGATGTTGCCTATTAGTCCACTGGTGAGAATTTTTGTTTCCTTGACGTTCTGACACAATTCATATTTGTAGTCTACGATCTTTGTAGTCTGCAATCTTCCGTAACAAAAGATTGGCTAGTAAAATGCCAGTAGATGTTGCAATGGACACAGAACTCAAGGACTATACTCAGAACTACGGAGTTTATGATGGAAGTAAAAACGATAAAGATTCAAGCTGGACGCAGTCAGTTCCATTTAAACTTGGCAAGTTGGCAAAACTGGCCATCCCTTTCGTGAATCTATTACACACCTCATTAGGACATCCTCACTCAAAAGGTGCTACCAGAAAGCTGCCAGGTCCCCTTGGTGGGCCACCAACTCTACCCAGCCATGTGATGTTGAAAGGGGAAGACAACAGCTAAAAAAGTCACAGGGAGCAGCTTACTTGAGCACAAAAGGTCTAATATCAGAGCTGACTTTGTTATTAAGCTCAGAAGCCACAGTATCCAGGGCCCAGGAGCTCATGGTAACAGGTCAAGTTCTTATAAAATCAGAAGCAAATACATACATACATACATACATACATAAATACACATATATTGAGGAGCATGCTCTAGTATATAATAACAGGCGTGGTTCCCATGCCAAAAGGACGATAAAATGTAATTTTCACTCTTTCTTTTTTAATTAATTTTAATAGACATTTACAGAGGTTTTGGATTTCCATTCATTTCACTATTTCTTTTTATGAAGACACGTATCCATGTAAATTATCATTTGGCTATTCCGTATCTCAATTATTTTAAAAAGCATTCACCAAAAAACCCCTGAAACCTATTAATGAAGCTGCTCCACATAGGTCCAATGTTCTGGGCATCCCCATCTGACTGTAAAGTCGCTGGGATGAAGGTAGCGGTTACTCACCTTCAGCGCCAGGCTTGAAAAGGTGTTGGAAATGTTGCACTTAAAGCTCAGCTGCTTATCCAGGTTGCCGTCTGGATCCCGCCTCCCATAGTCAGACAGCCCCGTCCGGTCAGGGGCCACCACTTTCTGGAACACGGTGCACGTCATCCCGGTGAAGCCAGCAGCCTTGATGACATATGCTTCCAGGGCAATGCTGGGTGAAGACTTCAAAAGTCAACCAAACGGAAGTTACAAAGCTTTATAATGGGAGGAAGAGCATTTACCAAGGCTTTGCAAACAGAGAACACTCTGCACACGCCACAATTCAGCGCCAAGCTCTAAATCAACAAAAATATGGTACAGGTAACTGAGGAAAGACAGGAATAGAAAAGCTGGGAGCAAGGAGGAAGAAGCTATCAAAGAGGAAAAGGACATGAATAAAAGATTCTATCTACATTCAAGGTCAATCAAAAATCCTCTGAATGATGTATACTGCATTGAAACAGATGAGGGAAGGAACTGTTTAAAAGGGACCTATGAATGGATGTTCTTGTCATTGCAGAAGTCCGGAGTGAAGGCTGCATAGTGGAGTGGACTTGGGGGGGAAGGGATTGCAAGAGCTTTTCTTTTTCTTTTCAAGGAGAAGAGTAAATCGGTGGGGTGGGGGGAGGAGAAAAGTACAACAATGAAAGGCTGGAAACCCTAAGTCTCTGTAAACTTTCACTAAAATTAACTAAAAAAAAAAAAAAGCTAAAAAAACCCAAAAATCATTTGAAGCTTCTGACATGACACAACAGCTAAAAGCAGAAGTTATTAAAAATAAAACAAAATTAAAAAACACTGATAAATTGGTGGACTGATTTAATTATAAAGCAAAAGGAAATGAAAGGTAAGCACGTATTTAAAAACCAAACCTTTTTTTTTGTTATTTTTGTGTGCATGTACCATCAAATCAGATCTGACTGGTACAGGAGGAGATTGCCTCTCCTTCCCCGGCAGAGCATCTGGTGAACTCGAACCGTGCACCTCTGGGACTGTAGTTGCAGCTTCTTGCCACTAGGCCACCCAATATTATTCAAAATGGTTGACTCTGGAGAACATTATGCTGAGTGAAATATCCCAGTCACAAAAGGACAAATATTACATGATGCCACTGTTGTAGAATGGGACTGTCCTTGGGGTTGGGGAGAGACTGAGTAAGATGGGTTCAATAATGTATACTGCACTGAAACAGAGGAGGGAGAGAACCGTTTAAAAGAGAGATGTAACTGGGTATTTCTGTCATCACAGGAGACTAGAGCGAGGGCTACATGGTGGAGGGGACCTGGGGGAGGGTTTGTAAAACAATGAAAGAATCTTTTCTTTTACTTTTCCATAATTTTTGGACTCATGTACTTATAACTTGTTAGTCAAATTTGTGTCTTCTAGGTTGCAACACCCCCATGATACATCTTCAAGGATATGTACATGTACAGCCAAGCATAATCAATAAGAGTGCATCTGAATTCCAAAATCAATCTCCATAATAGTCTATGTGTTTCCTACTGCCAAAGGGGCCCTTTAGAGTAGTGAGAGAAGATCTTCACCCTGAAACCCACAGCGTCCCTTTTCAGCAGGAAGTAGCTAAGAGAATACGCCGTCCCCTTTTCAGCAGGAATTAGCTAAGAGAATACGCCGTCCCCTTTTCCTTATGACTCAGGGTGAAGTCTCTCTCAGGGAGGAGTGATAGGGAATTGCAAAGTACACACTGACAAAGAAGATTAATCAGAACTGGCTTTGACAAGCACTGTGGCATTTGGACAAGAACAAACTGGGAGGAGGGTAGAGAGAATAGTGCAACAATGAATGAATGGAAACCCAAAATCTCTGTAAATGTTTATGAAAATTAATAAAATATAATTATAGAAAAAAAAAAAAAACCAAACCTTCTGCCGCTGGGCCTGTTCCAACTTACAGAGACTAAGTAAGGCAGAGCAGACCCACACATGAGGCGCTCCGAGCTGTCGTCTTTACAGAAGCCAACTCCACCTTTCTCCTTCAGAGCAGCTGCCGGGTTCGAACAACCGATCTTTTGGTCAGCAGCCAAGTCCTTAACCACTAGGTCTCCTTAAGGTAAGTACTGAGGTTTGGGACATACATTTCAAAATCATCTCATTCAGCACATCACGCTGCCTGAAGTTTTCCAGTCACAGGGAGATAGCATGAACTATCTGTGTTCAGTTTTGCCGATAAAAATGTCAGGGACTGGCTCCTGAGTAGTTGTAACTTGAGAACATGAAGGGAGTCAGCAAAGGAACAAGGGGGGGGGGGAGCAGCAGCAAATTAGGTCAGAAAACCCACCAGCAACCATGCCCGAAGATATTTCAGAGGACTTTTGCAGTGAGAATGAACTTACGGGGTCACAAAACTGACAACCTTTCAATACACAAGGTTGTCACGGTCATGCACTGGGCCACTGCCTACATCATTGCCATCCATCAGGACATGCCAGAGAGGGCATAGCACATGGCCAGCAGGCAAGTCTCACTCCACATCCAAAAGTTGCTAGAATTTACTATAAATTCTAAGGGGGACAACATGGCTTCCCTTTCTTTAATGATGATTAACCCTATGCCTTCCACATGAACAAGGTACCAATTTCCATACCATGTGCTCACAAAGGATTTTTGTTGGTTTTAATACAAGGGACTTTGATGCAAGGTATTTAACGCATTTATTAAGAAGATAGGGTAGAAATAATCTTACAGATAGGACAGAATTGGGCAATCTCCACCTGTACCATTAACACCTTGGAAGCCCAATGATCAGCTATGACTCAGTCCCAGCTCGACGGCATTATGTCTGAGGGTTTCTGAGATTTTCTTCCCCCCCACATGCCTGGGTGAAAAGTATCGACAGTTTCCTCAAATCGTCAATACTGAGGAATCTTTGCATTAGCTTTTGTCTCATAGATTACACACTGAGAGAGACTTTATTAATTCATTTACATTTATAAACCATCTATTTCTATTTCCGTTTTTAATTAATCAAAGATGCAGGTAAGAAGCTGCACTGCGATCCCAAAGGCATGCAGTTTGACATTATTTGGACATTATTTTCCCATGCGATTTACTGCCTCTGAAAACCCACTCGAGGGTCAGCTATGGGTCAGTTCTGACTCCATGGTACACAACAAAAACAACAAATGTCTATTTCTTTTTCAATTTTCAATTAATAAAAAATGCAACCACCAGAGTTTCTAATGAATAAATAGTAAGACTTGTTATAAACACAAGTTTATGAAGCTCCAGTGGAAATAAAAAGGACATCCATTACTTTCAGGTGTCCTTGAAGCTGTAAGGTCTTCCTTTACTTGTTAGAAGTACATGTGTCAACTCCAAGACCTTGTACGTGTGGAAATGATGTCCAGCATCAAAGGACCTTATTGAGGCCTTGAGTTCTAAGAAAAATAAGTTCGGTTCAAAGAAAGAATGTAGTTTGGATGGAAAACACAGCTAAAGAATGAGACTTAAAAGGGGCTTATCAGAGTGGGCCTGGCACGTGAATGTGGTGCAAGATAAGAGAAAATGTCAACCTGGTGGTCACTGGGTCACCATGATTCATTGTTCAATGGCACCCAACAACAACAACTAGCACATCTGAGAAGACCGAGTGTAAGCATAAAAATGGGAATAATCTAACGTATGGTCACATATTTGAGATGAAAGTCACTTTCAGCTATGATGTAAAGACAGAAATCACACCAGGCCTCCATTTTATTTATCCTTCACAAACATGCTCTTGAACTAAAAAAAAAAAAAAAAAGAAAAGAAAAGGCAGCTAAAAAAAAAGGAAAAGAAAAAAAAAAAAAGCATTACTTAGATTACTGCTCTCTAGTGCCTCCCAAGTCAGGTAGTGATTTACAAAATCATTGTTCCTGCGTGCTGCACAGTATCCCATCCTGTGTATGTACTATAATTTCTCAATCCATTCGATTGGGATTGGACATGCGGGATATTCTTGAGATAGTCATAATGCTTCTATGAACACTGGTGTGCAAATCTCCATGTGTGCCTCAGTTCTTTTCTCAGGATACGTTCCGATCAGTGGAATAGCTGGGTCATAGGGAATTTCTATGTTCAGCTTTTTGAGGAGACACCAAACTGCCTTGCAGAGTGGTTGTAACATTTTACAATCCCATCAACAGCGTGTAGGAGTTCCTATCTCTCCACATCCTCTCCAATATGTATTACCTGCTGTCCTGTTAAATTTAGTATGGTATACTCTTTTAGAGTGGGGTGGAGGTCTCCGATTAAACAAGTGTGGAAGGAGGAGTGGCGTCCACTTCCATAATAGCTTGCCTCCGGAAACCCTATGAACCTGGAGAGAGGATGAAAGGCACCCAAGCGTCGAGGACTCTCCTTCATAGGGTCGCTATGAGTCGCCTGTGACTCGACGGCACTTAACAACATCAACAGAGAGAGAAAGCGAGAGAGAGAGATCAGCTGGTCCAGTGAAGAGAAAACGATGTGACCAAGACAAAGGGGGGTGACTTTTAGTTTGTGGCCCTCCGGCCAGTCTTTCATTGTTTCTGTTCAGACATTCCTCTAGGTCGTATAGCCCTGGTGTACAAGTTGCCGCCCCGCAGTCACTTGTGGTTGCTGTGAGGCTGAACACTGTGACACGGATGTGTCAAATGCGTTAATGGTTGGCTACCCAGTGCGGACTGAGAGTGGGGTGGAGCTCCCCGATTAAACAAGCGTGGAAGGAGGAGTGGCGTCCACTTCCATAATAGCTTGCCTACGGAAACCCTATGAACTTGGAGAGAGGATGAAAGGCACCCAAGCATCAAGGACTCTCCTTCATAGGGTCGCTATGAGTCGCCTGAGACTCGATGGCACTTAACAACAACAACAACATACTCTTTTATGTCATTAAACATAAGTGATTATATTAAATCTTAACTCAGAGTTTGGTATGAGGCGAAAAACTAAAAGAATAAGTAATACAATACAGATTAATTTAAAAAAAAAAGGCAGCTCATTGTTAACAAGTCAAAACCCACTCAGAGCTGACCTTCCCTCTGGTTTGCAGAGGGTGTAAGTCGAAAGCGAGGAGACTGGCCATCTTTTTCCCCGAGGAGATGCTGCAGACCTGTCAGAGAAGCTCAGCCTTTGGGTTGGCTGTGTAAATTCCAAGGACATCATCAACAGAGCTCTCAGAAGAGGTCTCAGCAACCAGCACAAAAAAAAGAGTCATTTTCAATCAAAGAAGATCATGGGAAGAAGCACAGATTCTTACATCAAGACTGATCAAACATTATGATTTTTTTTTAATTTATTGTGCGTGTACCGTCAAATCAGATCTGACTGGTACAGGAGGGAAATTTTCCCTTCTTTTCCGGCAGAGCATCTGGTGGATTTGAACCATGTACCTCTGGGGTTGCAGTACAGCTTCTTGCCACTAGGCCACCAGAGCTCCCCCACATTATGATCTTTTAATAAAAACCAAAACCTAAGCAGGAGCGGCATCCACTTCGGAAATGGGTTTGCCTCTGGAAACCCTATGAAGAGTGCTCAGGCTTTTCGTTCATAGGGTCGCTATGAGTCATCTATGACTTGACAGCACCTAACAACAATAACAACAACGACATAGAGAGAGCTTTGTTGGCCTAGTGGACAGAAAGTTATGCTATCAAGCTGAAGGTGGGTGATTTTAATCTGCGGCCCTCAGGCTGGGTTCAAATTGTTTTCCTGTCAAACATTCTTCTAGGTGGTATAGCACTGGTCTGTGCACTGCTGTACAGAGGTAACTCGTGGTTGCTGTGATGCTAAACACTGGGACACTGATGTGACAAATGTGGTAATGGGTACCTGTGATGGACAGTGTTTGCTGGAGCTTCCCGACTAAAACAAGCCTGGAAGCAGGAGCGGCATCCACTTCCGAAATGGCTTGTCTCCAGAAACTCTATGTATGAACGGTGCTCAGGCCTTTCGTTCACAGGGTCGCTATGAGTCATCTACGACTCAACAGCACCTAACAACAACAACAACAACAAGCAGCAGACCATGAAATTTAAAGCAGTTCAATTTAGCATGAAATCTTGCTGTAGTTCTTAGCAGCTATCAAGTTCCGTGTGAGCCATGCCATCAACCTCAAGGGCTCCAGAGGGTTTTCAAGGCTGTCAACGTTCAGAAGTCAGTGTGTAGGCCTATCCACTACGGGTAGATTTGAACTCTCAACTTTCCACCAGTGGTTGAGTGTGTAACCATTTGTCCCACTTTAAGACTATGAAATAAAAGTGAATCCTGTTTCATTTCCCTCTCTCTCTTTCCCTCTCATTGCTGTCAAGTAGGTTTTGGCTCATAGCCGACCCTCTAGTGGGTTTCCAAGGCTACAAACTGCCCAAGAGGCAACTATGCATCTTCTGTTGACGAGTACCTGATGGTGCCCTCTAAGCAGCAGAGAACACAGCATCAGTTAGCAGTGTAACCCTCTAAAGGTAACAAATGCCACCAACGCTCTCCAGTGTTTAATTTAGTGATTATTAAATAGAATTAACTCATTAACTCAAGAGTAGGACAGACTGACCACATTGGGGTAATCTTAACACTTGAGCTAGCAATCTGCATTCTCAATACCACTCCAAACACAGACAAGAACTGCGCTGAGTCATGGGTAGCCACTAACATGGTGGTTCTACAGTCTTTTTCACAAAACTAGAATTCCAACAAAAAGCTCTGGTAGCCTTGTGGTAAGGAGGTGTGCTGCCAACCCAGAGGCACATGGTTTGACCACCAGTGGCTTTATGGGAGAAAGATGGACAATCAATTTCTATGCAATTTACTGCCTCTGAAAACCTGCTGGAGGGTAGGTTAGGACTTGGTTCCAACATGACAACAACAAGCATTTCAATAGTTGGTTGTGTTTTTTTTCTTTCTTATTAGTATGTGTGTGTGTGTGTGTGTGTGTGTGTGTGTGTGTACCATCAAATCGGATCTGACTGGTACAAGAGGAGATTGTCCCTCCTTCTCCATCTGGTGGATTTGAACCAACGCCTCTGGAACAAGCATTGCAATAATGAAAGCCATTCCAAAGCTGTATTAAAAGATTTTCTGCTATGAGAAGAGATGACTCACAATCAAAATCAACATTTAGACTGTTTTTTAAAAAGGAAATTCTATGATAATCAGCAGAAACAGAAAATATCAACCCCCTAATGCGGATGAGACTTATATCTTTGCAGTTGGAGTTACTTTCAATAAATTTTTCCCCCTCAGAATTTGATTCTAATCGGACACTTACTGTTGAATAAACATGAGCTCCGTTTGCCAGGCGGTAGGTGGCCACGCGCTGGAGACACTGCACAATCCGACTGCAGGCCTTGGCTTCCCTCTGTGCCAGCCACAGGACACGTTCATCAGCCAACATGATGTTGCTTGCGATGTCAACCATCACGTCGCCAAGCTAGCAGGCGTGCGGGAGAGAAGAGACAGGTCTTAAAAACCAACAGCGGCTGCTTCGTCCCATCAAATCCAGATCAGACACTGCATTTGGCCTTCCCTCAACATTTTTAGACGAAAACTCGGCAGACACTTTTGAGTCTCAATAAAAATGTCTTCAGATCTGAATACCACCACACTCAAGGATGATCTTTTAGATCAAAATAGGGCATGTAAGGAACCAGCTAACCACTGGGAAAAGAAGATGTGTGGTCTCACAAGCTTGAAAAAGATGACAATTAAATTATTAGTGAGGAAGTGTGGCCAGGTCACAGCAACACAAACAAAGAGATCTCAATTCAGCCTGAAAATCTAAAACTGCCATCATGACAGATATAGTTTTGCTTACATTTTCATGCACATATAAACATTTATGCCTTTTGTACCGCATCAGCCAAAATCTCAACTATTTGATTTTGTTGTTGTTGTTGTTGTTGTTGTTATGTGCCGTCGAGTCGCTTGCGACTCATAGCGACCCTATGTACAACAGCCCTAAACTCTGCTCTGTCCTGTGCCAATCGCACTGTCTCTGACACTCACATCCCAATTATCCCAGTCATTGAATCAATCCACCTCATAGAGGGCCTTCCTCTCCTGCGCTGTCCCTCTACCCTCCCAAGCATGATGTCCCTCTCCAAGGCCCTGTCTCTCCTCACAACATGTCCAAAGTATGTTAGACGGATGAGAAATTGTCATAGATTGACTTATAACTCTCAAAAGAAATGTGGTGTAAATCTTAACCCTACCTCTGGTAAGGTGCACTGTGGCTGAGTGTTAAGGAACTGTGCTGTCATCTCAAGGGTGTCTGGTTCGAATCCAACAACTGCTCTGAAGAAGAAAGATGGGCAGTCTCCTTCTGTGAGATTTACTGCCTCTAAAAACCCACTGGAGGGTCAACTCTATGTTGGTTCTGACTCAATGGTTGTTGTTGTTATTATTTCCTTGTAGTACAGGAAAACTACCAGCCCCACCCCCCAATTTATCTCCTTTTCATCTCTAGTGAGATAAAAGTTATTATAGGCTATATCACACCCTCCAGAGACTAAGGTCCGCCTGATACAGGCCATGGTTTTTGCAATCACTTGTTATGCATCAGAGATTTGGACAGTGACTAGGGAGGATAGAAGGAGAATTGATTCCTTTGAGCTGTGGTGCTGGAGAAGAGTACTGAATGTACCATGGACTGCCAAGAAAACAAACAGATTCATCGTAAAGAGGATTAAACCAGGCTGCTCCTTGGAGGCAAGGATTCTGGGGCTTCGTCTGACATACTTTGGACGGCGGACGGCACATAACAACAACAACAACAATATCACACCCTAGAGTTGTTGTTGTTGTTGTTACAGACATTCTAACCTTAATCCTATGAGAGCAGTTTGGTTTAAGAGATTATGAGAGATCGTTAAATACACACTACACCACTGTCATTGCTGTCAGGTGCTATGAGGTCCACTCTGACTCATAGTGACCCCACACACAAAGGAACAAACCCCTGAATGACCCTGTGCCCGACTCCTCACTATCTCTGTTGCGCTCAAGCCCTCTGTTACAGTCACAATGCCAATCCTTCTTGTTGAGGGCTTCCTCTCTCATTTTCTAAGCTTCCTATCCCTCTCCAGGTACTGCTTCTTCCTGACAACATGCCCCAACGTATATGAGAGTCACCACATCGTTGTTTCTAAGGTGCACTCAGGCCGCAACTCACCCAAGAAATATAGCATTTACATCCACATATTTTAGGTGGGAGAAGGGTAGAGGTACAATTCAATTTATGACACTGATGTTTAATTTTAATGAAAGCCTGCTGTCAGGGACCTCTCTAGAGTACTGAAGAGCAATGATGTCAGTCTGGAGACTAAGGTGCGCCTGACACAGGCCATGGCCGTCACAATTACTTGCATGCGTTAGAGAGCTGGACAATGACTAAGGATGACAGAAGAAGAAATCAATGACTTTGAGTTGTGCTGGAGAAGAGTGTTGAATATACGATGGGACAAACCGATCAGTCCTAGAGAGGGTGAAGCCAAGTTGCACGCTGGAAGCAAGAATTTTGAAGCTCTGTCTGACATACTTTGAACATGTGACCAGGAGGGACCAGTGCTTGGAGAGTGACATCATGCTTGGAAGGGTGGAAGGACAGCACAGGTGAGCAAGACCCAGGATGAGATGGATTGACTCAATGACTGGAGACGTTTGATTGGGTTGGTCAGAGATGATGAGATTGGCTCAGGATAGGGCAGGGTTCAGAGTTAATGTGCAGAGGGTCACTATGAGTCTCAGGGGACTTGACAGCACATAACAACAACAACAGAAGTAGAGTATAATGCTGAGGCAGAATATCCCTGTGCCTGGGAGCCGAATAATCCTGGGTTAAGATGTCAGCTGTGACCCTTACAAAAGAGAAGACTGTGAGCAAATTTCTCCGAGCCTCAGTGTGCTCATATGTAAGATGGGATCAAGAAGCTAAAAAAGTGTTCTGAGTCTTCATTCTGTATAATAAGGTAAGGGGGAGAAAAGAACAAATACCTTCATATATCTGAAAGAATAAAAAACTGAGTACTTTATAGATATAAAATACTGCTCTTTAACATGCCAGAGGCATGAAGGAATCAAGAGTCTCCAACGTCATCTACACTGTCAATCAAACGGCAATCAGATCTAAAAGTCAGAAGAGAGGGTATCCAAATATTCCTACAGTGAAAAATTCAGGCCTAGATGCTGGCTTTGGAAAACAGGTGTTTGTGACCACAAGGAGTTGGCCAGTCTACCCAACCACGGATATGGTTTTATTAACTGGATCAGGACAGGAGCCAGTCTGGGGGCTCCTGTGATTGGAGGGCAGAAGGAGATGCAGGCAGATCAGGCGAGACCTCACCTAAAACCGTAGGTGAAGAACCTTAGGGCCTGATAGGATAACAACTTGCTCATCTCTGAAACCTAGAGAAGATGCTCAAGTACAGGTGGGGCAGTTCGAGAAGGGAATGTGAACCTGTCTCCATGGAAAGTTTGACACAACCCTGCTTGCTGAAACTGAGGAGGACCTAAAGCACTTGCTGAAAAAGGTCAAGGACTGCAGTCTTCAATATGGACTGAAAATCAACATCAAGAAAGCAAAGAATCTCACCTCTGGGCTGACTGGCAGCATCATGATAGATGGTGAAGAGATTGAGATTGTTCACAGTTTTAGTTTGCTTAGCTCTACAATTAACACTCTTGGCACACTCAGGAAATTAAAAGACAAATTGCATTGGTAAAGTCAGCTGTCAGAGACCTTTCCAAAGTACTGAGGAGCAATGATGGCAGTCTGGAGACTAAGATGTGCCCGATACAGGCCATACATGGTCTTTGCCATTATTTACTATGCATCGGAAATCTGGACAATTACTAGGGAGGACAGAAGGAGAATTGATGGCTTTGAGCTGTGGTGCTGGAGAAGAGTGTTGAATATAACATGGACTGCTAGAAGAACAAACAGGTTCAGCCTCAAGAGGTTGAAAACAGGCTGCTCCTTGGAGGTAAGGATTCTGAAGCTTCATCTGACATACTCTGGACACGCTGCAAGGAGAGACCAGTCCTTGGAGAGGGAGATCATGCTTGGGAGGGTGGAGGGACAGCGCAAGAGAGGAAGACCCTCAACGAGACGGACTGATTCAGTGATGGAGGTAGGTTTGTTAGAGACAATGAGATTGGCACAGAACAGAGCAGGGTTTAGGGCTGTTGTACAAAGGGTCACTATGAGTGGCAGGCAACTCGACAGCACATAACAACAACAACAACAAATCCCAACCAACAAAGTGTGCTGACCTAACTCTTCAACCTTCTCATCTGCATGTGAAAACTGGGTTAGGAAAGAGGAAAACACTCATCTACTTACTGCTGTTTACTCCCCTAGGCTTCTCATCCCTGTTAGCTCTCCCATAGTGTTTCTATATCTTTATGGAAGCCTTACTCTAGTTTATATAACATATAGTAAGATTTTTATTGTTGTTGTTGTTATTGTTATGTGCCATCGAGTCGCTTGCGACTCATAGCGACCCTATGTACAACAGCCCTAAACTCCGCTCTGTCCTGTGCCAATCGCACTGTCTCTGACACTCCCATCCCGATTATCCCAGTCACTGAATCAATCCACCTCATAGAGGGCCTTCCTCTCCTGTGCCGTCTCTCCACCCTCCCAAGCATGATGTCCCTCTCCAAGGACCGGTCTCTCCTCACAACATGTCCAAAGTATGTTAGACGGAGCCTCAGAATACTTGCCTCTAAGGAGCCACCCGGTTTAACCCTTTCCAGGATGAATCTGTTTGTTTTCCTAGCAGTCCATGGTATTCTCAACACTCTTCTCCAGCACCACAGCTCAAAGGCATCAATTCTCCTTCTATCCTCTTTGGTCATTGTCCAACTCTCTGATGCAGAACAAGTGATTGCGAAGACCATGGCCTGTATCAAATGCACCTTAGTCTCCAGAGAGACACCATTGTTCTGATTCCATTAATCAATTGCAATCAATAAAACAAAATGTCTATCAAGTTGCTGTTGTTGTTTACCATCGAGTCGGAACAACCCATAGCTGAACCTCGGGCGGGTTTCAGAGGCAGCTGTTTGCATGGAAGGAGACTGCGCATCCTTCTCCCACAGACCTGCTGGTGGTCTCGAACCGCGTGCCTTTGGGATTGCAGTGCAGCTTCCTGCCACTTGGTCACCAGAGTTACCAAATGACTTACCAAAGATGCATGAACTTTTACTCAAAAAATTCTAAATATAAAGAAATGAAAAGCAGAAGAACTAGTGCATTTGATCTCTGGTATGGGCAATGGATATTGTATTTCATAACTTTCCATTAATTTAATGCTAAAAAAAAGGTACAGGTCTGAAACACAACCTAAATAGTTCTGAAAAGTAAGGACGGCAAAAATGTGCCTCCTTTACTTTGACTATGTTGTTGTTGTTGTTGTTGACTGCCTGCGT